GGTCTGAAACTCAAGAAAGGGATCTTGGGGGGAGAGTCCCATTGGGGGGTGTCTGGGTTGACCAGGAGCAAAGCTAACCCCTGGGGGGCATTTGGCACATGTGTTGTCAGGTGGGAAGGGGAGTTGGGAGGGAACTACTCACGTCTGGAGGGTAGATGCCAGGGAAGCTGCTCAACACCCTGCAGGCACAGGGCAGCCGCACAGTAAAGGCCATCACAGTGCCCAAGCCCAGCAGTCCTGGTAGACAGAAGGTGTTGCTGCCCCTTTAAACCATGCCTGTCCCCTCCGTCTCCACTGTCCCCACCTCCAGGAAAGTGCTGTCCAGTAGAAATCGAAGGTGAGCCACCCCCAAACCAGCGGAAAGGCACAGGGAAAATGGAGGTTAATAACATTCCTTACTGAGCCCAACAGGTCCAAAGTCCTATCGTTTCAAAATATAATCAGTATAAAAGTCACCCATGAGACGGGGTACACTTTTACTAGAAGTCTAGGAATCTGTGGGTGCCCCGTTTGGCCTGCAGCAGCCCCCTAAGGCAGGCAGGCGGGAGCCACGTGCAGCTTCTTATTTATTTTTATAAAATATGCACAAAATTCGTGCAAGGGATTTGGCCCTTGCAGCCGTGGCTTCATCCAGAAGGACGTCCGGAAGTTCGTTCAGCTGTCCAGTCTAATTAGCATATTACACTTTTATTTTTTTTAAAAAATATATTTTATTGATTTTTTTTTACAGAGAGGAAGAGAGAGGGATAGAGAGTTAGAAACATCGATGAGAGAGAAACATCGATCAGCTGCCTCCTGCACACCTCCCACTGGGGATGTGCCTGCAACCCAGGCACATGCCCTTGACCAGAATCGAACCTGGGACCCTTGAGTCGGCAGGCTGACACTCTATCCACTGAGCCAAACTGGTTAGGGCTACACTTTTATTATAGATTTTTATTGATTTCAGAGAGGAAGGGAGAGAGATAGAAACATCAATAGTGAGAGAGAACCATTGATCGGCTGCCTCCTGCACGACCCACATTGGGGATGGAGCCCGCATACCCGGCAGGTGCCCTTGGCTGAAATCAAACTTGCGACTCTTCAGTCTGCAGGCCCCACCCCCTGAGCGAAGCGGGCCAGGGCGGCCACGTGCGCTTTTTAGATTTAAACGAAGACAAATCAAATTCCAGGTCCTCCGTGCGCAATAGCGCCACGTGGCTAGTGTCTGTCCCATTGGACCGCGCGCGCGCGGACCTCAGACCGGTTCCAGCCTAGCGGGAAGTTCCTTTGACAGCTCTCCGGGGCTGGACCCGATAATAAGCCTCTTCTCTCCCTCTGCACCCCCCGACCCCACTTCCCGGGTGTCATGCGGCGCCGCCCCGAACCCGCGGACCCCG